TGATTTATTAATCTACTAATCAAATCAAATATTGCAGAAGCGAAGACGACCCTTCAAATCTAGATTACTCCATTCACAAATGTTAGAATTCGAACCTCTAATTTTATTTAAAAATATAATATTTTATCTTACCAGACAAACTGATTGTTAATAACTTACGTAATTTTCGTATAGAACTCCCACCCTCTTTACACCATTATTGAAAACCCTAGCCCCTCCAGGCCACTAACAAGAGTCCTAAATCTCTGTCATTTTGCTAAGGTTGGGTTTGATTCACAAATGGGTATTTGGAAAGCTATATTATTCCGACGCCAGAGAGTGTTAAATCCGTATACGCACGCAATAAAAGTATACCCAATAATTAGTAAGGTCCTTTTCCAGATCATCATTCTTTCCTGTTTGAATACTGAAATTTGAGGTCAGATTTCAAACCCCAAAAGATAATGGTGTTGGGGGCTTGCAGTGGGGAATCGAAAGATATGATTAAGAGGGGATAAAAAAATACACCAATCAATAACGAATCTAAAAATATTTTTTTAAAATGAGCACATATATATTGATAATATAAATTTTTTAAAAATAAAATATATGCAAATAAAATTTCGAATAGATATAATGATAATCTAAAATTATAATTTAAAAAAAAAAATCAAATCTTAGAATAGATACTTGCCTACTCTAAATAAGTAGTGGATCAGCCACTGATGCTAGTAGATATCAAACGGTTATGAGTTGAATTGGGTAGGTACATATTGTTCCACATTACACGTGAATACGTGTTTCATATTTTCCACCTTAGGCCATTTGATTCAATCTCTTTAACTTGCCATTCAATTTTGTCGGTCCAAAAGTCATTGATAATCCTCATCACCGTATATAATCGCCAGATTTCATATGCAAACTATCAATGTATGTGACTTCGATTGTTGTTGTGTTTTCTTATAATTTATTTGATTAAATATAATAACAATTAAATTAAAACTAATATTTACGTGAAATGTTTGAAAACTTATCAAATAAATATAAAAAATATATATATATATATATGTATTTTCAGAATATAAAAAAATATTATGAAAGAAAAACCAAAACCAAAGTAATCTAAACTAAAATTAATTATCTAAAAATTTCAACAACAAAAAGTTGATCGAAGGAACTGATATCAGCTCAAAATCCATGGTAAAGGTGACATTGAGGTTTTAAGTTTCAGCTTCAAGATTAAAGCCCAACAATGATATGGATTCAACCCCATTACTTTATTTTATTCAGAGTTCAGTTTAATTTCCTTTTCCTCTTAATCAAATAATAAATGATAAAGTTTCAAAATAATTACTAAATTATCTTAAACTATTTTTTTAGATATTAATAGATATTAGTTTTTCTTATTTTATTATAAAATAAGTATCATATCAGTATAATCATTAATTTGTATGATATGACAAATTAAAATAAATATTATATATGAATTATTTTATTATATCAAAATATTAAATTCAAGTTTAATAAAATTTTGATCATGAAGTTTTATATCTAAGTGTTATTGGTGAATCTTGTTAGTCATATGACATATCATTTGTTGTCAATATATTAGTAAAATTTTAACTCTCGTCTAACTCAAAAATATTGGAATGAGGTTAAACATATTTAGTTATATTCAAGGCACAAAAGACAAGAAGGACACTCTATGAAATAAACTATTGTTGTCACTTCTTCTAATCGTAGTAAGATTTTGGCTATTAATGAGTACTCGTGAATGTGTGCGGTTAAGATTTGTAATTCATCATATACAAAAAGATTATGATTTATACTATAAAAAGAAATTTCAAAAGTCTTATATGAAAATAATACAATTTTCATTACACATATTAAGGAAGGATGCATAGAGGGTGATAAAACAAAACAATCTCATTGAAAATTTTCTTCACTCATTATCTACAAAAAAATAATGAAAATATTAATGTTCAACATATTCGTTAAATGAGAATTTGACAAATCTTAAGTGATACCCGAAAATTACTTACATGTGCTCATATTTTGTGTGTAGGAAGACTAATCTGAGAAAATATTATTGGAGAATGCATACTTCTCTAGTCTTAGACATGGTATCATATGTCTTTTTCATGTTTACATGTTAATGAGTCATTTGTGTTCCCTCTCGTAATTAGATAATTTAATTTCTTATTTGACGCGTAAATATATAATTATTTGAATGACATATTTTCTTAAATTAAATCGATGGCCAACAACTTTAAGTTGTCACGATATTCTGGACAAGCTTTAAGATATCGAGTTATTGATTGAGTAGAAATGAGGATTAGGGGTATATTTTTAGTAATTAGAATTTTCATATTTTTAGCGTGATAACTAGAATTTTATTTATTAATTTGTGTTTTGGTAATAAAAATATTGTTTTTAGTTCTAATAGATATCCTATTTAAATATAAAATTGATAGCTTGCATCCCACCCAAGTTGAGTGGTTCACTAGATGTATGACATGCGATTGTGCCTCATATCTGTTACGCTATTGTTGAGTAATAGGTTTCACACAATATGTTCCAGTATCAATCATTTACTTAAACAATTTACAAAATGTTAACACATGGGGAAGTCAAATGTTGATTGAGGGAAGAAGTATAGCGAGTGGCTAGAGATGTGGGAGACACGATATGATCGTATTATCGATCACAATTTTTTTAAACCTTGATATGATAATTTTGAGCAACTACATAAGATGGGTCATGCAACACGAGAAGCCATATCTATTGTTTGATGAGTAACGAATTGAGTTTATTCATCATCGTAGGAATATACGTCCACCGACACAATATCATCTTCTCCTAACTAATCAGGGAATAACGAACTTTTCTGACTTGTCCTTAACAGTGCCTTTCAAAACAACACAACATACACCATCGTCGGCACTAATGCAATATTCATCATATTATGTTCCATTAATGCCTAGTTCACCACAAGATTATTATACACTCGTAATATTTGACTCGATATTTGCCTCACATGCATCGTATTTTAAGAGTGTTACTCCTTTATTGCCACCACATTCGGTCCAACCAATACAATCGATCACATCATTTTTCCCAATTTTTTGTAGCTCTCATTGAGTAATAGGATAGTTGATCATACACCTCTGCGATCGTTATTCTATACATATCATTCATCATCAGCAACACACATTGAAGATGCCAATATTAGACATAACACCAATCAAGATGATAAAAATAGTGAGGATGACAATCATGTTGAAGAACGACTAATACAAAAAGATCCCAAATAAAATAGACGACCACCGCCTTGTAAAATTCATTCGCAAAAACTCATTGCTAGACAATACAATTTTTTTCTTCAATTTTATAATTTATCAATATTATTATTATTTTCTTTTTATAATGTCATATTTTTTAGTTATTATAAATATCTTATCAATGTTATAAAGATTTTGGTTTTATTTTGTATCCCCTATTTTGATTTTTTTTAAATTTTATCCCTTATTTTAATTTTATGCTTTCGTCTTTCATTTAATACATGCAAGTTGTTGACTGATTTCCACATTAAGGGAAAGTGTGTTTTATGAAATGCACATTCCAAAACAGTGTTTTGAAAATTGGATCGGATCGGCCGGTTCAAACGTGAACCGCTGCTTTGTCCGATCAATTCTACCCCGGTTGAATCGATTCTAGTGAACCGTAAGGAACCGTTCGAACCGGCTTTGAACCGCTCGAATCGGACCGGACCGTGAACCGGTTCAACCTAATTTTTTTTTTATTAAATGTTTTTAGTATTTTTATTTAATATTTAAAATAATTATGACTTCGTCCGGTTCTTACGACCGGTCTGACCGGTTGAACCAGTGAACCGGTAGCACGGCCGGTTCGCTGCCCGGTCTGGTTCTGAAAACCATGTTCCAAAATATTTAAATATAAATATAATTTTTATGCTTAATTTTAACATGGATAAACAACATTGATAGTCTTTTATTTTATTGGTTCATTCGATTTTAGTCATCACTTTAAAGAAAGTTTAGTTTTAATCACTTGCGCTATTGATTCAATACAATTTGATCACTCAACCATTAACTCTCGTGATCCTAATAATTGATGTCGAAGTTGATATTAAAAATATATAAAATCTCAACAATGATCATATAGAAACATTATCCATGATATCACCACACGACTTTACTAGAAACTGAAGTTCATTGTGAATGCCAACAACTTGTCTTACACGGTTGGTCACATAGATGGATTTTATATCTTTTCCTAGTGTCAAGTGAGACTTTTGTACTAGGGTAAATGGAGTAAACGGTAGAAGAATAAAATCGTATTAAACCGATAACATAAAGGATTAGAATCCAACTTTTATTTTTAATTCACAACTAAAATCAAACGAATCAAAAACATAATGGATCACCAAAGTTGTTTACCCTTTTAACATTCATGTACTATATGATGTTAAATATATATATATATATATATATATATATATATATATATATATATATATATATACAATTAGGTATTTAATTTTTTTTCTAATGGTATAGTAAGATACTTAACTTTCTTTAATTTTACAATTATGAATCTAATTTATTTTTGGTTCATATTTGTATTCAATTTTTATTTTAAAATGCAATTAGGTCCTTACTATTTTTTAATTATGTGTCTATACTTAAATTTTAATATCCTTCTTTTGAATATATAACATATATTATATATTTAATAAAACATATTAAAATTACAAGTATAGGCCAATCAAAATTAAGCATATATAATTGAAAACATTTGATACCTAATTTTATCAAATAAAAAAATAATTACTTAATTACATAAAAAAAATTATATAGTTAATTACATTTAAAAAAATAAGTACCATATTACACATAAATATCAAAATTGATACCAAAAGTTATATTTACCCTTTATTTAAAGATACTGTTTATAAAGGAATTTATTGCAATAACTTCCTCTTATTTTTCTAGGCTTCTTTGTCACTCGCTTCTCTCGCTCTTTCTCTGTCTTTCGACTCTTATATTTTCCCCTTTGGATTGGTTCGTCCATTTGATCGCCGGAACTTCACCGCCGTTATACGAGCTGCCCGCATTCCGGCGATCTGCCTTTTCTGACGACTCTTTTCGAATTTTCGATCAATTAATGGTGACAAGAATCCAACCATTTCTCGAGAAACAAACAGAAGAATCTAATGGAAATCCCCATTTTTGAATTTAGTTTCTTAGGGGCAATTATGTCATGTATTCCGATCTATTGAAACCTCAAAATCACCGATGTCGACTTCCTAATCCCTAGCTCCATCAGTCAACCTGATCGTTGTTATGTTTTTATTTTTTGGGGGTCAAAATGTTCAAGAAAATTATCAAAGGAAGCAAGAAGTATTCCAAATCGAATTCAACGGTAACGGATACTGGTTCCCGTCCACCAGGTTCCGGTAATCTCGTGTCGGGTCCAATCACAAATGTTGTCGTCAACCATGCTTCCAGACCCGGCCAGGGAGCACCAACCACGAATTCCAGCAGCCCTGTGGTCCAACTCCCACCCCCAATGACCACCATCGAACCCTTGCCGTTATTACGAGACACCCCCGTTTCGGAAAGACAAACCCTATTCTTGCGAAAGCTACAGATTTGTTGCTTCCTATTCGATTTCAACGATGTCTTAAAATCGGCCCGAGAAAAAGAATTCAAGCGGCAAACGTTGCTGGAACTTGTCGATTTTATTCAATCTGGGTCTAGCAAAATCACGGAGATATGCCAGGAAGAGATGATTAAAATGATTGGAGTCAACATTTTTCGGTCCCTCCCTCCAGCGTCTCACGAAAATACGGGGCAAGTAGCCTCGGATCCTGAAGAAGAGGAACATTATTTGGATCCCTCGTGGCCACATTTACAGATTGTATACGAGCTTCTTTTGAGATATGTTGTGTGCACGGATACGGATACTAGGGTTGCAAAGAAATTCATTGGTCATTCGTTCGTTTTGAAGTTGCTTGATTTGTTTGAATCGGAGGATATCAGGGAAAGAGAGCTTTTGAAAACGATTCTTCATAGGATTTATGGTAAATTCATGGTGCATCGACCCTTCATTAGGAAGGCTATAAATAATATTTTCTATAGGTTTATATATGAAACAGAGAGGCATAGTGGGATCGGGGAGCTTTTGGAGATTCTAGGGAGTATTATTAATGGTTTCGCTTTGCCTATGAAAGAGGAACATAAGTTGTTCCTTGTGAGAGGGTTGATTCCTTTGCATAAGCCGAAACCTATTGTCATGTATCATCAGCAGTTGTCATATTGTATAACACAGTTTGTTGAGAAGGACTATAAGCTGGCTGATACGGTTATCAGAGGGTTGTTGAAGTATTGGCCTATGACTAATTGTCAGAAGGAAGTTCTCTTCCTCGGGGAACTTGAGGAAGTACTTGAAGCAACGCAGTCTGCAGAGTTCAAACGATGTATGGTTCCTCTTTTCAGACAGATTGCACGTTGCCTCAATAGCTTACATTTCCAGGTAACTTTTAAGGGCTTTTATCTTTTGAATACTTTGCTATGTGTCTGCAAATTCCAATAGCTTGAGTTGTCAATCACCTTTAGGAACCAATGGTATTTTGAATAGTTATATCTTGAATTGTTTCTAGGATGTGATGATAAATCGTATGAACTTTTAAGACCTTTTTCTTCTAAACATCACTCCGAGTATGCTAATTCCAATAGCTCAAGTAGTCAATCCCCTTTCGAAATCAGTACTATTCTGAATTGTGGATTGTTAAAATGTTGCTAGCATGTGAAAGATAAATCATATGAACTTTTAAGGGCTTTTGTCTTTTGGATGTCACTCTGAGTATGCTAATTCTCCAATAGCTTTAGTAGTCAATCACTTTTAGGTACCACTGATATTCTGAATTATGGAATGTTGAAATGTTGTTACTTGCTAGATGTGAAGTTAAATCATATGATAGTAATTAATTTCGATCCCAAGTTGGGAGCTTATGCTATTTCTCCTTTATAAATTTATCATCCTCCAATGTAATTTCTTCTAATTCTGAATGTTGAATGGATATTGATTCATGAAAATTAATCTTTGGTTTCTTGGGAAGGTGCTGCAATGTGATGCATATACCCTTTTTTCCCTCATTCCTGATTTCTTTTCGGAAAGTTGTGCAAACTGTTGCCTAGTTTTAAGCATTATATTTGCATCTGGTTGGTTTCATTCTTTCTGTACCCAGAAGAAATAACTGTAGAGTAGGTCAATTCCCAATTATGTAACCTAGTCTCTACTTTCTCCCACAGTGTAGTTTATCTCAGCTTGTTCGAGTGTGCTACTGTGTCCTGGATTTATGCTGGTTGAGATTCAATCAAGCATCAATTGTTTCTTCTTTGTGTAATGTCTTGCATCATTGATTTTTCTATCCTCTTTGTTTGTAGATAATGTTTTATTTCTATGCTTTCAATTATTTTTAGATCTTATGAATAAATGATGATCCAAATTTCAACTTGTGGTTGCTTAGAAGTTCTTTCTGTTGTTTCATTAAGTGCGTTCTTTATGCTGGTTTCCAGATATCATACTACTCATTGCTTGGTTCCATAAATTGCCTTGCAACCCATTGCCTGTGAATTCTAGATGTTGTGCCCTCTTCATAACTCTCTTTATTATAAATCTTCAGTCTGGTGTTCCTTTATTGATTTACCTACATCTTTTTGCTGATTCATTTCTCTTCCATAATATGTTTGGTAGGAGAGAAAAAGTAAGGAAAAACTACTTTTTTTCCATCTTTTCCTTTGGTAGGAGGCAGTAGAAAGGGAAGGAAAATGGTGCATGTGTACCTTTCTCTTCAAATCCGAGCTGTCAAATGAACAAGTTTATTTAAAACTTTGCTCTTTATCTATTTCTTTCCTTCTATTTTCCGCCCTTGACTTCAAACTCAGTGATGGTTAACTGTACTTCATCTGCAGTTTTCTCTCACCCATTTCCCTTTACTTTATAACCGTTCCTATCATACATATTAAGTCTTGTAGTCTGCATTTTGTCTCTAATACCATATGGTTGGATAATGGATAGTTCTTAATTGATAAGTTTCACCGGACACCTGTGAGGGATCACCTTTTGTCAAGAAGGATAGGGTAAAATATGCCATATGGTTGGATAGTTCAAAGTTGGTCTTGTTCAGCTAAGTTTCTCCTGTGATGGTTACCATCTGGTGAGGATAGAATTTTTGGACTCCTTTTGGTTCACTTTATTAATAAGCTTTCTACTGTGCTAGTTACAATTTAGAATTGTTGGAGGGAGCCGGTTATAAGTATATTGGTTTGTTAACTTGCTTTTGATCTTTGTAGTAAGATAGAACTTTCTTCAGAGTTTTTACTAAGACCCTGTTGTGTTGCAGGTTGCTGAGAGAGCTCTCTTCTTATGGAATAATGAACACATTGTGAGCTTAATTTCCCTGAACCGGCAGGTGATATTACCAATCATATTTGAGGCATTGGAGAGGAATACCCGAAGTCATTGGAATCAGGCAGTTCATGGGTTGACCCTGAATGTGCGGAAGATGTTCATGGAAATGGATGTTGAGTTGTTTGACGAGTGTCAGAGAGAGTTTGCAGAGAAAGAAGCCAGAGCACAAGAGGTGGAAGAGAAAAGACAAATGACATGGAAAAAACTGGCAGATTTGACAGCGGAGAGAGGATGACGTGACATGGTAACAGTCTAATATTACTGTTGGTTTCTTCAGTGTGAGAAGTGATTCGTTTCGTGACGATGGCTCTGCTGAATTTCTCCGTTTTGGTGGTATTATTTTCCTTTTGCCCCCAACTTTTCATCTTTTTAATTGTTATTGTCAATCTGATCAATGAAGATACATTTCAAATGCATGGAATTTGTTAGTATCACACTGAAGATTAAGAATGATATGTGAGGAACGACTTGTATTTTTTTTGTCACCTTATTTGTTCTTCCAACAAAAAGAAAAAGTATCGGATATTTTTGTTTGTATCCTTGGTTCATGAGATTTTCTATAGTTGAGATAAAATTAGGATCAAATCATTGGAATTCAGGCAGTTGGATATCTCAACATCCTTGCCTTGGTTGGTTCATTTATTATTGTTATTGAAAACAGACAGACAGTATTCCCATTGCAAGTGTGCGACCTATATTGCTCGGATTCGGTTGTGGATGCAAGTATTGTGTATGAATATATGTTTGAAGTTGGTATGTTTAATTCTTTTTAACTTTTTATGCAAGAAAGTCCTTAGAGGATCATATCTTCATATTTATGTTAAAATACATGTTGTACACAAGTACTTAAAGAAAAATTGAAGTATTTCAAGAAGGGTGTAATATTATTTAAGAACTGTTAATGTTATCATTTGGAAGACAGGTTGGATCGATTCAGAGATGTTAGATTTTTTATATGTTAGATATTCAGATTACATAATGTGAGAAAACTGTCTTCAAGCCTGATGGAGGTTTAAAGAAAAAGAAGACTTATATTTTAAAACAAGATGTAAAATAAAGAAATTTATTGTGAAGTCTAATTTTATTGAACTAATGATGATTTTAAATACAACTAAAAATTAATTTTTTTCTTGGTAAAGCTTTTGTAAGTATCACCTACGGTTCAAATCAATCAACCCTTCATTATGTCTTCTCTAAGAGAAAATAATTTGATATTGAACATTTTGTTTTTCATGAAAAACAGGAACACTAGCTGCAATAAATTCAGCTTCTACCATAGATTGTGCCATCATATATATATTTTGCAGCACCATAATGTGAATCTTTTAAATTCCTAATTTGTACAAAATATGATTTCATACTCCAGTGTCCCTCCCATACATCTAAGGACTTTTTTAGCATTTATAAGATGTGTTTCAATTGCACAATTCATAAATATGGATAATCTACTTTCATAATATAAGATATCAGGCTTCTATAGAAGGTTTGTTGACTTTTTCTCTGCTTCGTCTTCTTTGTTCAGGTTCTTTTGACACATTAGAGTGTCTATATTCTTGCATTCATCCATTCTGAGGTTTTTTTTTCTCTTCAAATTTTGTTTAACATACTTCTTGTAATATCCTTAACTTAGTCTAGTCGTAAATTGGATCGACAATATTATACAGCTCATCTAAAGGTTCAAAGAAAACAAATTTGCAACATAAAAAACAATTTAAAGTAGCTAGGCGAGAGAGGCATTACAATAATAGATGTGCCAATATCACACATGTCTCGTTTTATCTCAACCTTACCAATTTTTCAATGTATTACGAACATGCCTTGGTCTTTTAATTTAGGTGGAAGTCTTCGTTGGAAAACAGCTGAGACGTGTTCTCCCAAATTCACCTTCTCATTCCAACAAGTCTTCTTTTTGTCATGCAGAGGTCCTTTAAAATTTTAGCATACCTTGGTACTTTTCGGATTACTTCAAGGAGAGATATATTGATTTTCATCTTCTGAAATACTTTCAATATTTACTTTTCCTTGACTTGTTTATCTGTTTTTACTAACCTTTATGGAAAAGGAGGTGGAACAACATAGAGAGATGACACGAGATCGAATTGTGATTCATCTATTTTTTTCTTTAGGGTCATGTGTCAATTGTTTTTTCTTCTTTATGGGATCCCGACTCTTCTTTTTCTTCTAAATTTTCATGTCTTCATCCTCTAGGACTAGTTGTGTGACAACTGTACCACTCCAAAGAGTGACGGCGCTAACATTTTCCCGTGGGTTCACCTCGGTTTGTGATGGAAGTTTACCTTGTGATTCTAAGCGTCCTACGGTCTGAGCTAGTTGACCAATCTGCTTGTCTATTTCTTGTTAATGGACTTCAGTGCGATTCTGGAATTTTTCTTGAAAAAGAGCCAACCTCTCAACGATTGATTCCAATGATGCCTTATGCGGTTGATGGGGTGGTAGAGGTGGCCTTCATTTATATGCTTGCTTAGGCCTCGAGTTTTGTGCATAACTGAAGGTTGGGTGATCTCTCCACCCTGGGTTGTAAGGCCTTTGGGGAGGTCCCAGAAAATTGCCCATTGTGTTCATTTGTGCGCCAACTTCTTCCTATAACATCGGACAATAACTTGTTGGATGATATGGCACTATGCATATTCTGCATAGCCTTGTTGTTCCGATTTTTTCCATAACAAGTAAATTAACTGATCAGTTAATTTATCGATTTTACTTTCAAGAGAAATAAAACTTATCTCATGAACCCGTCAATGAGTTCATTAGAGGGGTGAAACTGTTGAGAATTGGAAGTCAATGTAGAAAATTAAGCTTTTAGCTGCATTAAGAGTCATGTTCACCAGATCTCATTCACTGGTAACATCTATCATCTTCATTTTTAGAGGAGTTAAACCTTCGTAGAAATATTGAAGAAGGGTTTTCTCAATCAACACATGTTGCGGGCAACTAGCACAGAGCTTTTTAAATATCTCCCAGTAGTCGTAGAGTGACTCTCCATCTTTCTGTATGATTCCAAGAATGCTTCTTCTTAGCTCACTCACCCTCATCGCAGGGAAGAATCTGTCAAGAAAAATGCGAGTCATGTTAGCCTATGTGGTAACAGAATATGGAGGTAAATAAAATAAAAATCACTTAGCCAAATCGACTAAGGAAAAAGGAAAAGCTCAAAGTTTGATATGATCCTCATATACTTCTTGTTGTTTCATGCTGGAGCAGACCATGTGAAATTCCGTGAGGTGTTTATGTGGATTTTCATTTGGTAATCCATGGAAGGTAGAGAGAAGATGAATGAGACCAGTTTTTAACTGAAACGAAGTTTCGCCATGAGGGAAGACGATGCAAAAAGGTTTGATGCAAAAATGGGATTGACAATTGGAATGGGTTTTGTGTTATCGAACTTGAAGTTTCTCTCAACATCTGAACTTGATTCTGAATTCGAGTCTGGATCTGTTTGTTGATAATGCTCTTTTTATTGTCTCATTCTTTTTCGAAGCATCTGTGCGTGAGTTCTACGAGCTCGTGCTTCGATCTCCTAGTCAAAATCTACTAATTGACCCGAGTTCTTCTTGGTCATAAATCAAACAAACTTAAATTAATAATTTTGGTTAAGTCCCCAACAATGATGTCAATTCAACAAGCGTCGTTTTACTGTCAAATAAAATTCTTTCTTCTCAAAAATAAATAAGGAAAGAGCATAGTAAAGAGAAATAAGGATAATCCACAAGGACTTAGAAAATTTCCAAATTCGAGTTTGTGTTAACTATTTATCTAGATAATTTGCAGTGAAATAAAACAAGGGGGATTTGGTGGAATAAGGATTAAATAAGAGAAATAGTAAAGAGTGAAAATAAAGAATATTAAAAGCGTAAAGTTAAAAATAGCAGTGGTAAAAACTAGTCTCAAACCTCGCTTTGACTCAATTCATTTATGATCATCAAAATGGATTTTACTTTGAGATTCACGCTGACTACAGTCTACAAGGCCCAACCCTTATAACTTGCTTTTCACTTTGGTAACCAATTTTCCCAAGGTCAATATTTAAATTTCGACTTTTAATTGAACCAACTACAACCATCTTCGTTAGCACAAAATAATTTTAAGTTTTAGAAAAGCCCGACTTAGATCATGTTGTCTCACTGAGTATCGAATCCGATCTCAGTTTCCCTTAGCGGACCGTCGCTAAGTGTGTTCACAGGAAGTTAGATGTGCTACGAGCCGATCCTTCCTCCCAACTTTAAATCAGAACAACATCCCGACCAACATCGATATTTTAAAATGAAAGAATTTTTATTTTCAAAGGTTAGGTCGATTACTTATCCAAATTTCCAGAAAAATGAGAATGACATCCTGAAGATGTTAAGTGCTTTTCAATTCTCACATTTTGAATTGAGTCATCGCTTAGCCTTTGACTTATGAGAAAATTAGCTAAGCATGACGGAAGTGATACTTAGCATGTTTTAAATAAAACTTAAAGTAAAATAGAAATGAAAGCAAAATAAAAAAACTTCTATAAAGCAAAGTAACCAAAACTAAAAAAATAAAGTCTAAGCAAGTGTGTTCAAAGCTTTACCCCAAGGGGTATTTATAGCTTTCTAAAACCCTAAAGATAATATGAAAATTAAAAGATAAATAAATCCTAAAAATAAATCCCAAAATTTTCAAATTCAAACTTAAATTTAAAAAATAACTCCTCCTAAGATAACTATGTTCGTCCTCCTTCTAGGAGGTACTGACTGGATCTTTTAGAAACTGTTGTTGATTGGATCTTCTAGAAACTGCCACGTCGGACCGTACCATGTCTAGTGTTGTGCCCATGCCTCCAACCATAATCGAAAAATAAAAAATGTAGATTGCGCCCTTCTTACTTCTAATTTTGGAAAACATGCTTCTATATGAACATAAGCACAATAAAACCAAATCAGTAGTAATAAATTCATAACACGAAAGAATTAACAAGTAAATATCTTCAATTTAGAACACTCATGGGTGAGCCCAAAGGCTCAAAACCCTTTGTAAATCTCTTTCCTATTTGGATTCAATCCTTCACAAATCAAACCCAAACTTGGTCCATCAATTCTAATTACTCAATTATTCCACTCCATAGATCTCTCGGGTCAATTCATCTTCGTTGACCCAAAATCTGAAAATATTACATATTGAGTCTCAGATCAAATAAATAGATTCAGGTAATTATATTATGATCAAATTTACCATATCTAATTACACTTTTAAAAATGCATATTAAAAATTCTAAAAAGAAAAAAGAGCATAGAAAAACAAGAAAAGAGCATAGGAAAGCAAAGAACAAATTTAAAGAGAAGAAATTCCGTTTATTTTGAAGTAAATCACCAAACAACTCCACAAATGCATGAAAAGAAAATGGATGTGAGTTGTTGTGATGCTTTACTTTAGGTCATAAACTGTGTATATACACAGTGCTGATGGTGGCGTTTGCTCAAACGTGACACTCACAATCCCACAATAATTCCTCACGCCAAGAATCTCTCCTCCAACTCCACCGCCGTCATCGGATTTTCCCTCACATTATTTCTTTTATAGATTATTGGTGCTCGGTCGGTTCATGCTTACAGGTTGCTTCCTTCACTCTTACATATACCAGCTGCTTTTATTCATTAATTAAATATGTTTCTTATCTGTTATTCAATTATTATACTCATTTTTAATTTCTCTACTATAAAGAAAAATTAATATAACTCTAAATTTTTTTTGGTTGTACTTCCGGCTATTAAGGTTTTGTTTTGATTATTCTGGATCGACTCGGGTCGTACACCTGATGTTGTGGGTGAGTCTCCCAATAGATATTTTTTACATACACAAAGACTCGAACTCAAAATTTTGTTTACCTCTTGAACTAACCCTCGTTGATAATATAACTCTAAATTTTAATTGAACAAAAAGAATTAACAAATGATGAATGCATAATGCATGATGTTTTATTCATATAAAGAATTCTGTTCATATATATTGCTGAAGTCAACTGGTCCGTTTTAGACAAATGAGTCATGCCGATTCACACTATATTATTGTATTACCAAAACAAATCTCAGGTTCTACACTAAACTCCAAAGCTGTTTAAATAACAAATAATGACTTTTTTTTTTTTTTACATTTTTAGAATGTAATGTTACTTTGCTTCTGCATGTGCTTCGATGGCAAGGCTTTACCCACTCCTAATTATTGGAGTCTAAAAAAACGAGTAATTCATCAAATTATTGGTTATGATATAACCGGTATGTTTTTGGGTGGTTTACGTAAACATGATATTATATTAGAGATGAACTTATAACATTTTAAAAAAATAAAAACATATTAATAATAAAAGATATAAAAGAATATTTAAATTATATGAAAATTTAAAATTTTAGAAACAATCGATTTATCTGTGAAGCTGCTTAACGCAATACCCTAATTAGTGTAAACCCTATACATAATGAACAAAATTCTTAGCGTAAACCCTATACATAATGAACAAAAATATTATTATTTGATCACTATTTGTGTTTTCTGAAGAAAGAAAAACTCATCTAAATCCAATATAGACTGAACTACGATTAAGCTTGATAGTAAAAACGTTTTTTTTTTTTTTTAAATTTCACAAAATAGATTAACCATAAGTTTACTTTTCAAAATATTATTGAACCTTATTTCTATAGATTTGCTTCCTAATGTTATTAAAAATATTGACCTTATACTAATTACCTTTTATTTTAGTAATACAAGATGTTAGACTCCTTAAAAAAATCAATAGTTTAAATCTTAATATTATGATGAAATAAATTTAGTTAAAAACGTCACCCTATAATAAATCTTTATAATAATGGATCCAAATTAACCGATCAATTAATTAGATATAATTGATCTATGAATTACTTAATGACTAATTTAAAGGGAGATCTAAATGGGTTAGACACCAATAATATATTAACATCAGGGATGGATTAGGGGAAAGCTAATAGGGGTGGTCGTCCTATGAAATTTTCAAATTCTCGTATAAAGTTTTTTTTATCTCCTATTGATAATTTATTTTTGCTCCCTAATTTTTTTTGGATAATTAAGCTTTATTAACCAAAATAACAGATCCTTGCTACAAAACGATACAATCAGAGTATCAAAAGAATGGGGAACCTATGTACAAACAAAATTAAACTATACCCCAATTGCTACATAAAACTAAATTTATGCTATCATTTCTATTAATGTTCCTATTACTTAGAACAGTCCTTACAATCATCTTAACGTTGTTGATGATTTCTTCAGCACTTCGGCTTTTCCCTGTAAAAATCCTTCGATTTCTTTCCTCCCAAATAGTGTAATTAAAATCGCACCACGAGAGCCTAAAAATAGTAGAAATCATGGACTTGCCCTTCCATGAATTTGCTGCTCACTCCAACAGACTGGACCAGGAGGTGAAATGCATGTTCAAACTGGACAGATGGAGCAGAGAACTCCAAATAGAAGCTGTATACCTGCAAGTGGCAAAAAGATGGTCTCTAGTTTCAATTTCATCATGGCATAATATACAAGCAGCATTAGAAATAATACTGAAATGTTGTAATTTGTCCTTGGTTGGGAGACGATCCAGTATGATCATCCAAGAAATTATGCTATGCTTCGGGACATGGAGAGAAAACCAGATCAGATTATGCCAAAAGACTTTGTTATTTTTGGGCCGAATCTCTTCCCAAATTATTTTAGTGTTAGTTGCAGAAGACAACATCAATGATCTGGCTATGGTTCGTATTTTCAAAATACGCTTAAAAATCTAGCTTGAATTATGTGGTTCTGTCATGGTCCAGAAATCCTGGTTCTTGATAATACTAATTTGAGTCCAGGATACCTAAAGTGAACCTTCACCAGCAAGAAGTTTTCTGGTAAAGTGAATCAAGCGCGCACTATTCCAGGATTTAATATCCATATGACCTAAACCACCTTCAAACTTTGGATTACAGATTTTCCCCCAACTCACTCTTGTTCCTACAGCTTTTGTGTCCGAGCCTTTCCGAAAGAATCTTGAACACAGTTGTTCAATTTTCTTGATAATAGAAAGAGGTAAGAAAGTTGCCTACACCAATAGTTTGCAACGCTACAAAGAACAGTCTTGATGAGCTCCACCCTTCCTGCATAACTCATCTTCTTTCTTGACCATTGGTGAAGCATGTTCTTGATGTTGTCTATAAGGGCTTGACAATCCTTTTCAGTTAGTTTCTTGGTGACCAAAGGGACACCCAAATAACGAACAAGAAGTCTTCCTTGTTTAAAGCCAATAGAACTTATGATAGTTTCAAGGGTGTGGAGAGAAATGCCAGCTGGTAACTCCATAAAAAGGTCATATTTGGGACCTTTTCACTTAAGTTATTGACTGTCTTAGAGCTCATATAGGATCATATAGAGGCATTTAGGAGCATATAGTTGCATGTGGTGAAATTCTGTTTGTCGCGGCATTTTATTTTGTAATCAGTGCTGCTTTATTGGGAAAGTGTTTGTCTGGTGATGTGAAGGATTTGGGAGTAAGGAAAAGCAAAAGGGAAATGCCATGACATAAGGAGACCGTTGAGCAGAATGCAAATTCCGAACTAGTTGGTATTTCGAGAGCGATCAGAACGAAAGAAGAATATTTTTAGTAAGAGCCAATTGTCATGGCATAAAAAGTGCTTTCTGCAATCAGCCATAATGGAGGGGCCAGTTACCATCTTTGCACCGACTCTCACATAAAAGGAATGAACTTTAGGGTACTAGTGTAATTTTAACACAAAACCCTAGGTTCATTCTCTCCTATAAATAGAAGATGAAGCCTGACTTTTTGCAGGGACTTTGGAGAATTTTAGACAGCCGCCAAGAGCCTAAAAATTCAGAGAAAAATATCTCTCTTTTTTCCGTCAATCGTTTTATTTGTGGCATTCCTCCGTTGACAAGCTATAGGGAGTGGCGAACTAGGTGTCCGAGAGGAGCTAGATCACTGGGACTATTCGTGGTGGTCGAGGGAACCTCCAAAAGTGCACGTCAAAGGCTTTTCCTCCTTCCCTTTGCTCTTTTCTTTCGTTATTTGTTATTTGGGTTGTAAGGAACGTATTAACTTGCTTTGTGTTTGGTTATTTCGAACCCCACCATGAAATGATCTTATTTGGTGGGAGTTTATTTTGGATATTTAAGTTTTGCTTTAATGAATGATTGTTTTTCTATGTTATAATCTGTTTTGCTTATGAATTTTAATGCCTTAAGGTTGTAGGAGCTATGAGAGTAGCCATTCCTTAGGTGATTACTTTACCTATGTAGTATATCCTTAGATTCGAGAGAAACTAGGAGGAACCACATAAGCAAGGGGTTCTAGATAGTAACTAGGCCTAATCCACATTAGAGATAAGACTAGGATTTCATTCGACTAAAAGGAGTTGTGCATGAGCGATAGGTTAGATGTTAATGCTGCCGCAAAAAGGTATTGCCAAGACATATCCTGTTATTGGACCAATAGGATCCCTGCAGTAGCTAACGCCAATCGGTTTTTCCAAGGCATCCTTAATTTGTCGAGTCCCTTGACTAGAGATAACATAGGGCACCCTTAGTAAACTCTGTCGGGCAGATAAAGCATAGAAGTAAAACCATTCTGAGAAGTGAACTTAGATTTTCCTAGGTAACTCCTATCATTCATTCCCATAGTAGCTTGTCGTGTGAGGAGTCTAAAGTCCTTATAATCAAATCCAATATTTACAGTTTATTTTGCCTTTACATTTTTATTTGATTGCAGTACACACAATTCCTTTGCCACAACATATCCATTTGCTACCACATTGTCATCGTTCCATTTCCATACCATCCATTCATTTTGACACAACATTATCATTTGTATATATACCATCTCTAACTTTACTTAGGTGACAGAGTAAAGTGTCGTGACAAACTTATTTGATTTCCTCCAATCCCTATGGAGAATAATACTCACTCATCACTTTATTACTTGTTCGATTGTGTATACTTGCACACATATCCGCACCATTTATAGTACTCACAAACAACAGACAAGTTTTTGGCGTCGTTGTCGGGGATTAGCATCTGGAAGTTAATTTGTTTTGTCATAGCATTATTATTTTACTTGTTTATTTATTTATTTTAGATAGTTTTACTTTTTATTTTCCTTATCTTTTTCAGGTTTTTCGCGGTGTATGACCCGAAGACATTCGGATGAGCCATTAGAACGGTTGAACCTGAGATCGAGAGGCTTTTTAGACAAAGAAGACGTGCTCAACGTGCATATATATCAAATCGGAAATCAAGGCATTGGTCATGAGGATGATCAAAATGCCGAGGTAAATCTAAATACTGAGAATGCAGCCCGACCTCATGCCATTCGTGATCACTTAAACCCGATCTTAGATGACTTAAATCCTAGAATAGTGGCACCAGAAATTCAGGCAGCCCACTTCGAGCTCAAACCTGTCATGTTCAATATGCTGAATTCCATAGGGCAATTCGGGGGCATGCCAAATGAATATGTCAAGCAGCATATTCATAACTTCATGGAGGTGTGCGATTCTTTTTGCCAACAAGGAGTGAACGAAGATGTTCTGAAATTAAAGCTATTTCCATATTCCTGTGTGACCGAGCAAGAGATTGGTTGAGTGGCGTTCCAACGGGTTCAATGGAGTCGTGGATTGATCTGTGCAAAAATATTTTGCTACGGTATAATCTTCCGAACATGAAAACCCAACTAAGGAACGACATTGCTTCTTTTCATCATTCGTCAAGCTGATGACGAGTCGATGTATGAGTGCTGGGATCGATACAAACCATTGCTTTGCAAATGTTTAAATCATGGTTTTGAAGATTGGACGCAAGTGGTGATGTTCTACAATGGAGTTAATGCACCCACGAGGATGATGTTAGATGCCTCGGCAAATGGGACATTACTTGATAAATCACCAGCATAAGCATTTGACATTTGGACAGGATTGCCACCTACGATTATTTGTTCCCATCCATAAGGCTTGGACTTGGGCATAAATCATATGGAGCTTTCGAGCTAGACTCTAAGGATAACGTGTCCACCCAACTTGCTACTATCACCAACATGTTGAAGAATCTGCAAAGGCCAAGTGAGGTGAGAGAAGTGAAGGTAGCTCATTTAGCATGTTTATTATGCCACGACAATCACAATAAGAGTGACCGCCCGACTAATCAAGAATCCATCAATTATGTAGACACTTCAGCCGAGGCAACAACAATCCTATTCTAACACATATAATCATGGATGGCGTCAACATCCAAACTTTTCGTGGGGAAACCAAGGAACCAACAATGCTCATCAACCAACTCGACATCAGAATTTCAATGACTCCCAGGGATTTCAATCGAATATGCCATGGCATAATTCCAACAAGGGAGGGCCATCTTCATCTAACACCAGTTCTTTGGAGGCCACAATGCAAGAGTTCATAGCAACAAAGACAATGCTGTAAGACCATGAAACTCCATAAAAAACCAAGGGCTCTGCTTCAGAGCTATAGTTCGTTGTTGAGGACATTGGAGAATCAGGTTGGTCAAATTGTCGTGGCATTACAAGAACGACGACCAAGACATCTATCGAGTGACACTGAAGTCACAAAACCTCATGGAAAAGAGCACTGTAGTGTGCTAACTCTACGAAGTGGTACATGAATTAATGTCGAAGACAAGTTTGGGGAAGATCGAAGGATAATTCACCCCCTAAGACTGTACAAGGTGATCAAGAAGTGCTAGAAGAAGCACCAGAGAAAGAGGATAAAGATGAGAGTTCATCAAGTAAAGTGACTGAGGGAGCAAACAAAAATGCCAAAGCAAATTTTGTTCCCACCCCGTCAGTACAGAAAGTCAGACCCTACCTCCTTTTCCGCAAAGACAAAAAAGCATAACGAGGATATTCAATTCAAAAAATTTGTTGACATTCTGAGTCAACTTCAAACCAATGTTCCTTTTCTAGAGGCTATGGAACAAATGCCTACATATGTTAAGTTCCTCAAGGAGATTGTGACAAGAAAAGAAAGGCTGAGTAGTGCGAGATAATTGCCACGACAAAAGAATTTTACTCATCCTTAAGCAAGCTGCCACCTAAGAGACATTATCTGGGCAGTTTTATCATCCCATGTTCGATAGGAGACAAATTTATTGGGAAGGCACTATGTGACCTTGGCTTAATCGTGAACTTGATGCCTAAGTAATTTTCATGAAGCTTGGGATAGGAAATGCGAGACCCACATCTGTCATCTTGTAATTAGCTGATCGATCACTTGTGCATCTTGAAGGGCGAATTGAAGATGTCATCGTGTGGGTCGACAAGTTCGTTTTTTCCTATTGATTTTCTGATTCTGGACTGTGAGGTAGATGCCACAGCACCCATCATCTTGGGGAGACCCTTCCTAGCTACCAGGCGTATTCTCATTGACTGCGAGAGGAGCGAGCTGACCATGAGAGTGGCCGATCAACATGTCACTGTGAATGTCTTTCGATCCCTCAAGTACATGGATGATTCTGAAGAACGCCAAAGCATTTTAGAAGTGGATACAGTAATCACGAAATAAGCAGATCAATTTTGTCAGGACAACTTCATTCAGCTGGGACCTGATGAGGGGTTATTCGAAGACTTAAAGGCTGGAGAGCCTAATGATTTTTCTATCGAGGAACAATAGGCTAGCTTCCTCAAAGCTAGCCTAGGTACGCATTTTGAACCTTTGAATTTTGAAGAGTTTGTTCCTCCTAAGCCCTCATTACAGCATGCTCCTACCCTAGAACTTAAGAATTTGCCACAACATCTTAAATGTGCTTATCTGGGTAGTAATGAAACTTTTCCTGTGATTATTTCCTCTGCCCTTACTCCTAACCAAGAATCTAGTTTGTTAAGTGTTTTGTCACAGCATAAAAGAGCGTTAGGATGGACGATGGCAGATCTGAAGGGAATAAGTCCAACTATCTGCATGCACAAAATCCTGTTGGAAGAATGACATGGCAAATCCATAGAGCCACAGCGAAGATTAAATCCAATCATGAAGCAAGTCGTGATGAAAGAGATTCTCAAATGGCTTGACACTGGAGTGATTTACCCCATTTCAGATAGTTCTTGGGTGAGTCCCATCTAATGTGTGCCAAAGAAGGGAGGCACGACCGTGGTGGCAAGCGAAGACAACGAGTTGCTACCTACACGCACAGTCACCGGGTGGCGAATGTGCATGGACTACCGCAAACTCAACAAGGCCACCAAGAAGGATCATTTACCTTTGTCGTTCATTGATAAAATGTTGTATCGACTTGCTGGCAAGGCATTTTATTGTTTCTTGGACGGATACTCGGGGTAT